ATGTTGAATTCACTGACTTGCTCGAAACCGTTGTCAGTCTTGTCCATGAAATAAGAGGAAGATCAATAGAGAAGTTCATGCTATGTATTCTCCGTCTTGAAACCGTAAGGTGCCGACTATGAAGTTCATGCCATGGCTTCTTCTTACTTCTTTATTTGTCAAGAGGAAGATCGTTAGGGAAGTCCATACTATGTCTTCTCCGTATTGAAACCGCAAGACGCCGACTATGAAGAAACTTGCACGATAAATGTTGCGACGTAAGCTACATGAAGAAGGATTATTTATCGTAAAATGTTCTCCATGAAAGATTTCACCGTCAAAGGAAATCAAGAGTTCTTCTTAATTGGAGCTCCGTCAAGAAACCAAAGCAGAAGCTAAGCTACCATCAGTTCAACCGAGTAAATGCGTGAAATATTAATGGACTTGATGTTCAACCGATTTCAAGATTCTACTAAGCAGAAGCTAACGTCTCAGCATCAGCTAAGCTAATCTCCGTTCAACGTTACTAAGACGTTGTACGATCGGCATCAGATGAAGATGATGTTCAACCGATTTCGTAAGTCTTCTAAATGATTAATGAATCAGATATGGAATCAGGTGAGATGTTGAAGGGAGGAGAGTTACGAATTCGATTGAAATGATGGTAGCTTAGCTTAGCTTATGGCATCAAGTCCTACAACGTATTTTCCATGCATGTAACTCTTCTTTCGTTAATCTGTAACTATTGTTCACAAAATTGTCAAAAAAACGGTTTTAGCAAACATTTTTTGAGTAATAAAAAGAAGTTTATGTTTGCTATTAAAATTATAACCAAAAATGGAAACACAAATGTGAGGAGCTCTATTAAGTTGACACGTGACAAAGATAGTGTGAATGCATTAAAGCAAATACTTCTCTTTTAATATATAAGGGATTAAGATGAAAATACACATCTTCTAGTATCTGGTTTAATTCAGATGGAAATGTTTGTTGATAACTTTGCCGATAACATTTCATTTGATTATTTTCTAAGAATTTGTATGTAAGTAAGCGTCTTCACATAAATATTTTTCTTCACCATTTTAATAATTTTGTGAAAGATGTACAATAATAAATTTATCGATATAACTTTATCGATATAGACCATTTATAAATTTCAAAGAGCTATACGAAACTTTTCATGACTTTTAAATTTGAGAATTATATATGTACTTTAAGATAGCACCTTTACATTATACTATGAATAGATACATTATTACAAAAAAAAATATTACATATTAAAGACACATAATTGTAGAAGAGACACTTATTGTGATATGATAACAATTTTTTCTAAAAATAATTTCTTTTATAATGAGAAGACTCAACTCTTAAAACTTAATTGTAGAAAGAAACTTATTTAGATATTTAACTACTTTTAAAAACTTTTCCAATAGTTGCATGTTGGAAAAACAAATCTCAAAATTTTAGTGAAAATACACAACCTTTCAACATTAAATGAATTTTGTATTATTATTATTCATGTTTATATGTGTTTCTTCAAAATTATTTATTGGCTATTTAATAATGAATCTCTCCATTATCTAGTGTATATGTGATTGTTTTGATTTTCAGATTGTGATTTGTCAATGTCCACAACTCATTACATAGAGGAGCAATGGTTAGTTAACACCAAAAGTTGCAATGATTTATCACCAAGAATAACTGTCACCAACAATTTCAATTGTTCATTACCAAAAATTGCAATGATCTATAAAAACAAACACTTGTAATATTTCATCTAAGCAGTTGTATCTGTTCCACCAAACATTTGCAATGATTTACTTAAACGGATGCCAAGATTCATTTAAATCACTAATAATCCTCTCATATTGACGTGTAATAGTGATTCACTAAATAAATAGCACATATGTCCGGCTGATGCATAAAAAAATGTTATAACCAATGCAATTACTAGGATGAAAGATACATATTTATATATTTTGACAACATCTTTTAAGATCATGCAAGTTTTAGAATGAAGAACACATTGTTAGGATGAAAAGACACATTTTAAATGTACACAAATTTTAAACTAATCTAATTGTTAAAATGAAAAGACACAATTTTAAGATGAAAAGATATATTTTGAAAAAGTATTTTCAATCAGTTCCATTTTAAAGATGAAAAACAAATTTAAAAATGAAACGACATAATGTTTAACATTTTTTTTGGATTCCAGAGTATATGGTCATTATAAGAAACTACATTTACAATATATTATGAATATACACATCATTACAAAAAAGCACTCCATTATTGAATTATTTTAACAATTTATTAAAAATTATTTGGTCTTTTATAATGAGAAGCGATCACTCTTAAAACTTAAAATTATAGAAATGCAAAGATTCATTTAAATCGCTAATAATCCTCTCATATTGATGTGTAATAGTGAATCACTAAATAAATAGCACATATATCAGGCAGGCTGATGCATAAAGAAAAATGTTTTAACCATTGCAATTATTAGGATGAAAGATACATATTTGTATATTTTGAAAATTTCTTTTAAACTCTTGCAATTTTTAGAATGAAGAAACACATTGTTAGGATAAAAGGCACATTTTACATTTACTTAAAATTTAAAGTAATATAATTATTAAAATGAAAAGAAAAAAAATTTAAGATGAAAAGATATATTTTGAAAAAGTATTTTCAATCAATTCAATTTTAAAGATTTTAAAACACATTTTAAAAATGATAAGACACATCGTTTAACATTTGTTTGGATTCCAGAGTATATGTTCAATATAAAATACTACATTTACAATATATTATGAATATACACATAATTAAAAAAAAGCAATCTATTATTGAAATTTTTTAACAATTTATTATAAATTGATTGGTATTTCTTAATGAGAAGAGATCACTTTTAAAACTAAAAATTAAAGAAAACATTTATTGGTTGAAATATTTTAATTACTTTTAATATTTTATAGTAGTTGCATGTTCAGAAAACAAAACTACTCTCAGTTTTGTAATTAAAATATACAACTCTTATAAAGAGAATGAAAAACTCATAATTTAATAAATACACTTATTAAGATATTATAGTTACCTTTTAAAAATAGTTGCATGTTGAGAAAATGTAGAAAGACATTTCTTGAGATATTTTTATTACTTGTTAAACTTTTTCAATAATTTCATATTAGGAAAACAAAACTATCTCAAATTTATGAAAAGACACAAGCTTTATAATGTGAAGGCACATTTTTTAAATTAATAATTGTAGAAAGACACTTATTAAGATATTATAACTACTTTTTTAAAAATTAAATAGTTGCATGTTAAAAAAACTTAAAAACAAAAATAATATTAGTTTCTTATGAAAAGACACAACTCTTAACATTAAAAGGTTTCCTATTATTAATTTATTTAAAAAATAATGTATCTTTATAATGAGAATACATAACTCTTAAAACTAATAATTGTCAAAAATTAGTTCCAAAGATATTTTTCTTAAAAACAACTCATAGACACGAACTATTTATAGTTTTTAAAAATTATATTTGAAAGATCAAAACTTTCAAATTATAAATAATTATTTTAAAATAATATTTTTACAATTTTAAGGAGACACATCATTATTTAATAATTGCATACTGAAAAGATATAATCTTTTAATATTAATTGAAACTTTTCAATACTTATTTATTAAAAGGACACAATCTTTCAACATTAATTAGGATTGCTATTATTAATAGATATCCTTACATCCATAAACACATTCTTCAATACAAACGATACATAGAGCTTTGCTAGCAAAGAAGAAAGAATCATGGCCAGAACTGAAGAATGTCCTGACAAGCCGTTTGATCCAAGCAACCAGCGGAACATCCTGATAACATTGAAAGAATCAGACACAGGCTCGAGTGTTACGATAACGATGACAAAAAAGTTGGTAGAAGACAACTTGTTTCCTTGGTGGGATAAACGTCGTTGTAAAGCATTTTCACAAGATAGCTTTGTGGAGTTAATTGATCTGTTCGAATACGATTCAAAGATCACAATTACTCATACCGTGAGAAGAGATCCTGATGGAAATTTCACGTTTTATGGTTGGGGTACCATCCTTGCAACAAGAAATTTCAAGACAGGCGATATTATTGGATTTTGGTGGGATAAACTTCATGATAGACTCAATTTTCAACTAGTCATGAATGCTTAGTTGATTGACCGTATCTTTGCAGCATAATTTCTCGAATAATCTATTGTGTTAGTTACTTTATAATATATACCTCTGGTATGCTTTTGATCGTTGAAAGTTTTCTATTTCTTTCTGAGATAGTCTTAAGAGACCCTGCATGGCTTATAGATTATATATTCTAACAACTAATAAAAAGCTCATTCTCTTCTCTTCTCTCTAACAACTAATAAAGAGCATAGTATAACCTTCAAAAAATTATAATTAAATGTCTAACCAAAACCCCTACATCACCTATTAAACGTGTCTCTTATAAATAATATTGACTTATTAACTTCACACACAACCGGCAAAACCTGTAAAAAAATAAAAATATATAAAAATGTCAATGAAAAGTAATTCATGTCCCCTTGAAAACACATACATTCTCATATTTAATTTATATTGGTAACTTTGTAGAATGTGAATAATCTTCTTCCCAGATTTGTACCACTTGCAGCATTGCGATCGGCAAAAATGAGGAAAATGAGGAAGTGGGTGAAGAAATAACATCAACAAAGACGAGAAAGATGACGAAATAGAGGAAGCCGACAGATTCAAAGTGAACATGAGATTCGCTGTTACTGAAGATGAGGAAGAAGATACGTACATATTTGTGCAAGGTTACAATACAATGTATGATATAGTCTACTTTGTTCATATATATATATATATATAATAACAGTCTGTTGTGGTCTTCAAATTTATCAGTTCTCGGATTTGTAATGTAGATTTAGGTGTGCCAAAAAATGGTATGAAACTGGATTTGAGAAAATATTGTACATTAGATCCCATATTTGTTTTTAGTGTGTCACCACTGTCTTTTTCTCCTCAACCTTGCCACCAATAGTTCCCTCGCCTCTTCTAATTGTTGCAAATATTTGTTTTTTCCTATTCTATTTGATGAACATAGAATAATAATCTTATTCTACAGTATATAAGCATGAGTTATGTTTTATTGTTCTTTCATTGATATGAATCTTTGATTAATGTATATTGATCAGAACTAAATATTTACAAACACGATTTTAGCATTTACTAAACAACACCAATACAAGCTTCATAGAAATCTACATTATTATATTTATAAAAATTATATTTTACATTTAAAATAGTTTATTATAATGAATGATCTATATTGTATAATTTAATATTATATTATATTATGTAGTATTTTAATATTTTGATATTTGAGTTTAGGATTTATAATCAAATTTAGGATTTAGTGATTAAGGTTCATGGTTTAGTATTTGGAAGGTAGAGGCTGAGGCTGAGGTTGAGGTTGCGGTCAACACTAATTTCTTACATGCAAGCATACACATATCATAATTTTACCAATATTTACTATACTATTTATTTAATTTCATTCTATTTGAGTTTATACTAATTTATATTTAGATTTAGGGTTTATATTTGGGTTTAAAATTTAGTATTTAGGAATTGGAGGTGGGGTTAGAATCTATTCTATTAAAATAGACTCATTCTTTTTATCTACTGATACAAGTTGTCATTTAAATTTGGACCCTTTCTAGAGTGTTACAAATATGTAACACAAGTCATATAATTAATTGAACCGCATTACTTAAATTAAACCAATGGTTATTTATGGGATATAGTCTTGGGCTTACTTTTATTTTTAGAAAAAATTATATAGTTTGGTTTTTGGGCTTAGTATTAAGGAAACACTCCAAAAAATATTGAATAAACTTTCCATCTTAATAGATCAAAAAATCAATTATTTTTTTAGGCCCAAAAGGTATTTAATTTTTTTTTAAAAAACAAAATTGTCTATTATTAATCATTTATTTAAATCATGTACTTTAAAACATGTTAATGTATTTTTTATTTTAAATAAAAATCACTTTATTTTGATAAATTTCAATGGTAACTTTTAAAATTTATTGTTTTATTTTTCTTAAATAATTTACTGATTTAAAAAATGTAAAGCAAAACCAAAAACCAAATCTAAAAACAAAAATCAAAACCAAAAGATGAAAACACAAGTTATATTTTTTTAATTTTTTTTTATTTACAAAATAAACTATTGCAAATTTTTGTTGTCATCTTTTCAGTTTTAAAGTAGATGTTCGATTATTTAGGATTTGTTTGTAGGTAATATCAGTTCAAACTAACTCAACGGATCTAAAAATTAAAAACATAAACCAAAAGCTGAAAATCAAAAATAGAACTTAAAAACTAAAAACCAATAACCAAAATCTAAAAATAAAAACTGAAACTAAAAACTAATGAAAACAATAATTACCACAAATTTTGGTGAACTGCTTTTATACCAAAACATTCTTTAAATTAAGACAAAACTCAATTATATAAATTTTTAATCATAAAAAATTTATGCGCTTTCAAGCGCGGGTCAAAATCTAGTAGACGTTATTATTTAAGGGTTAGGAAGGGGTTGGTGTCCTATATGGTTAGAGGTTGTGGATTTGATTATAGTCTTATAAAATAGAACACTTTGTACATATTTAACTGGTCACTAAACGTGTGATGTAGATATCTCCTCCTTCTTTCATGTGTAAATAGAGATTATACCTTATTTTGTCAATGTCATCTATAAGTACCTTATTCAACAGCTACTTGTACCAATAAAGGGTATACATGGACAATGGCGGACAGACATTGTTGATTGCAGGGGAACGTGCCCCCTACAGCCCTACTACTTTAAAAAAAATTATATATAGTTATCCCCTTATTATTAAAAGGGAAGCAAGAAATAAGAGAAACCTTAAAATAATACTATATTTACAGAGGTGCCATTTGCTGATGTGTCAGACAGACAAAGCTTCTCAGACCACTTTCATAAATGTCCTTTCCCATCTAGAGAATTTACGAAGATTGCCATTGGACAGACTTTTTATGGTAAAGTAATTGCATTATATTATGTGTGTTCGTATACGATGGATATGTTAAAGTTGAGTCTTGTGTAATTCCAGCAGTATGTGTCTCTGCAATGTGTTGAACTAATAGCCATACTCCTTATGAGAGGTATGTCAGCAGCGTCAACATAATTTACCAGCCGATCCAGATCCCAAGACTTTGTTTCTTGATTGATAAGATCACTCACTCTCATGTTCGGATGCAGGACCAAAGCAGATGCGTGCGCTGGCCTCTCTGGGATTGTGGGAATCCATGGGTCATCCCATACCTTTACTTCATAACCTGAATGTATTTTCTGTCTAACCCCCCAATAGCAATAATTCACGTGCAGCCGAGATGCTTGTCCACACATATGATGGGCTACTGACAGTAAGCTTTCGCAAAGGCGAGCTTAGTCGATAATACCGACCTCTTATAACTCGAGCTACCAAGGAATCTAGGTTTTGGGCCAATCTCCACAATTGCTTTGCTAGTAGCGCCAGGTTAAACTCATGGATCATCCTGAAGCCAATTCCTCCTTCCTCTTTAGATAAACATAGCTTATCCCATGTTGTCTAGTGTAAGCCTCTCTTTGGTGGGTTTAACTCCACCAAAACTGTGCAATGGCACTAGCCAAGGCATCACATATCTCCAATGGAAGCAAAAAGCAAGACATAACATAGGTTGGGAGAGCTAGCAGGATTGACTTTATCATTACTTCCTTTCCACCTTTAGATAACCACCTACCCGTCCATCCATTCACTCTACTCCGAAGCTTATCTTTTAAAAAGGCAAACAACTTACATTTCGAGCCAATGATATCTTCTGGTATCGCTTGGTAGGTTCCCATTACTGCTTCACTTTGGATCCCAAGTGTATCTTTGATCTCCTACCTGACCTCTTGACCGATCCTCTTACCAAAGAGTAGAGAATATTTCTCAAAATTAATGCATTGTCCAGAGGCTTGTCCATATTTCCTAACCACTTTCATTACTTCTGCACATTCACGGGGCTCCGCCTTACAAAAGAAAAGGCTATCATCAGCAAAGAGTAGGTGGGATACCGACGGACACGCACGCGTGATGCGCATCCCGTTATCTTTTCCTGATTCTCTGCGTGATTAAGAAGGCTAACGAGCGCTTCCGTGCATAGAATAAAAATGAAAGGGGACAAAGGATCTCCCTGTCATAAACCTCTCTCCGGGACAATATTCCCTCTTGGCTGTCCATTCATAAGTACCTTGTACTTTACTGATGTTACACATCGCATAATCCAGGTAATCCAGACTTCTGAGAATCCCATCTTCCTCATGGTGGCTTCAATGAAAGACCATTCCATTCTATCATATGCCTTACTCATGTCTCTGTTTTGATTGCCATCCTCTTATTGCGACTACTTGGTTTGGTTTGTAAAGCATGGAAAAATTTCTGGGCAATCATTATGTTGTCTGATATCTGTCTCCCAGCAACAAAGGATGACTGGGTTTCAGAAATCCTATCTCGGAGGACCTTTTTAATCTTTGGCATAAGACCTTGGAAATAATCTTGTTACAAACATTACAAAAACTAATAGGTCGGATCTGACTCATCTGGTTTGGTTTATCAACTTTTGGGATAAGGCATATATTAGTATCATTTATACCAGCCGGTATAACCCCTTGAAATAGGAATTGATTAACCATAAGAGTTAGATCATCCTTCACTATATTCCAAAATTTTTGATAAAACAAAGCTGTCATTCCATCGGGTCCTGGGGCTTTCTCTGGGTGCATAGCAAAAAGAGCTAACTTAACTTCCCATTCTGAAACCGGTGCTGTTAGGCCCTCATTATCTGGTGGCGTAATTCTCCTCTGTAGTGGCATCATCGTTGGATGATAATCGATCCACCTTCTCCCTTAGCTCCTCTACACTTTTCTCTGAATTCAGATTGTGCTGTCTTTTCCAATCGGAGAACGCTCGTCTACAGCTTGCAATATGATCCATAATGCTCGCATCCGGAGGTAGGTCTGGTGATATCCATCCTTCAAGTATAATCTGTCTAAGTTCTCATTCTGAAGCCATCGCTTATCGAATTTAAAGTTTTTTGAACTTCGTGGCTTTTTTTTAAGAATA